CATATCGTGATATGAAAAAATCTCATATCGCCCAGCTCTAACTAGAAGGCACACTAAGAATACCTGTTTGAAGTGAAATTTATTTTATTAGACTTGGGACCGTAAGCTTTACTGTGTAAATGGATCCAGTTTAACAGTTCAGAGCTCTAATGTGCAGGTGTCACATTATTAAGAAACAGCAACACAGAGCACAAACAGCAATAAAATGATTAACTGGAATTAAAATGTTTATTTTCCTGCTCTGTGCACTAAATCGCCAGATTTTCTGCCATTATTAATCATGTGTCCTTTTTACAGGAGTGTTGCATTTTACCGGTGTATTTTCCATGTTCGTTATGGATTTTTAATCACCATTTGACAATCTCTCTGAAGTAGGTGGCACTCATAGGGACTATTATCTGTGGAAGAAAGTCATATGATCTGTGAAATGCCCCCTTTAGATTGGTTACATGCTGCCAAGACCATCTTTCATGTGATTACACAGGTGATAAGGGTAGGTTCCAGATAGGAACGATACCCTAGGTATGTTGAACTCGCTTCATACTATAGGGTCAAGTGCTCCACAGCTAAAGCACATGGTAAAAGTGGACTTTATGGCAGACCCTCCGAATTAAACGAGAACACAGTAAGACAAAGTGTGAAAGTGTGTTTCCCCTCTGTGTTTCATCCCCATTCCCTTCTTATTTCAACAAATGAAAAATAGCTGGCCTAATTTATCACACACAATTTCCAACAGTGACCTCCTGAGATTCATCCAGAACTCAAATGGTTTAGAAGAAAAACATCCTCACATCATGGTGAAGCTGTGAACAGTGAATAATCTAATAATAAATGTCTGCTGAAATGAAAGCTCAGCTCCAATTTCACTTTATGATGCCCAAGTATAGTAACAATACAGTTATTTTGTTGCTTAGAATGTTTTGCTTGATGATTAAGCAAAAACTGCTTTTTGTTTATTCTATGCAGGTTAATCATCAGAATGCCAAAAGTCATTGGTGAAAACATGTAGCCCCTTGGTGAACAAACGATAAGATCTGGTATAACACTCATGCACTTGCACACCCTAACTGAATGTCAGGCAAACTACCCACGCTTACCAATGCTGAGAAAGGAAAATAATTGCAATCTTGAGTGACTGATATGTGGAAGCTCAATAATGGGGCTCACTCTCCACGACAAACAGGGATGCTTCCCTACTGCATCTGGTCCTCCATCACTGGGTCATGCGGTGGGAGACAGACTATCCATCTGTACCTCACAATTACATAAATGTATTCTGTTTTAACTTAAACCCTTGTATTTCATTTCTAACTATTCTGAACTACAGTGGTTTGGCTGGAATGGTGAATAAATAAGTTTATGAAGCTCTTCAGCCAATAATTAGATTAAAAAAAAACAACTGTTACCAACTCAAGTTTGTATTACTATTCAATCTCAAGCACACCATTATTACTAGTATTATCAGTATTATAACCAAACTGACCTGCCAGCCTTTGTCTGCTGTTCTGTAGTAGGGGTAGTTCTTGGTGATGTGGGTGTATATTCCGTTCAGTGTTAGCTGTTTGTCCGGAGCCATGGTGATAGCTTGAACTATTAGCTGTGCATATGAATATGGAGGTTTGGAGTCATCCTGCAGGAGACATAAAGTGAAGTTTATTACGCAGGAAATGTGTGTACATATGAGCACACATATGCACACTGACACAGAGGGTTTGTACTCTAAAGTCTATGCTGCTACTGCAAACATTGGGCAATTTTTAGACTTCAATGAGTAACAGTGATATTCAGAGTCCTCAAATCCACTGAGACTTCTCTGAAGTCTGCTGCCTTCATCACGCACAGTTCTTCTCAGACATTTAGTCTGAATCCATTTCCAAATCAAGCAGATAATAATAATAATAATAATGGATTGCATTTATATAGCGCTTTTCGAGAACCTCAAAGCGCTTTACAATTCCACTATTCATTCACTCTCACATTCACACACTGGTGGAGGCAGCTACAGTTGTAGCTACAGCTGCCCTGGGGCAGACTGACAGAAGCGAGGCTGCCATATCGTGCCATCGGCCCCTCTGGCCAACACCAGTAGGCAAGTAGGGTAAAGTGTCTTGCCCAAGGACACAACGACCAGGACAGAGAGCCCAGGGATCGAACCGGCGACCTTCCGGTTACAGATGCGATTCCCAACCCCCTGAGCCACGGTCGCCCAGATAGACTGTAAGCACTCACCCCTTCTTGCCCTGTTCACATTATGCATTTCCTCTCACCTTTGGACTGTCTTCACCTGAGGCCTCCTTGTCGTTTTCTGATTGGGAGCTGTCTCCTATAAGATCGGAGGTCAGAATGCGAGATGTCCTGTAGCTGGACAGTCCTGCCCCACGTGGACTTGATGGGCAAGAATTTGCTGCACTGTGAAAGATATTTAAAATGTGTCTTGATTTGAGATGGGGAAAAAAGCCACAGTTTTCTAATCTGCTTACATACAACTAAGCAGTCCTACCTGATGGTTCCAGTAGGTGAAGGCAGCGGGCTCATGAGGTGTGCAATGTTGTCAGGAATGTTGATGGTCAGGGGGGAAATCTGGGGCTGGACAGGCTTGATCGGTGATTCTGGCACGTTCCTTGGCTCTTTCTTGTCATTGGACAGGGCTGTGAACGTTATTTTTATACTTGTGCTGGGAAAGCGGAAACAACACCTAAGAGAAGGAGAAAAGAACCAAAAAACTATTATACTATTTAAATGTGTGAAATTATTCTGCCAGTCAATCAAGTGCTTATTACAATGTTACTGCTCAGACCAGCTGGTGACAAGCAGGCCAAGGAGGTCCAACTACTGTGATTCAGTTTCACACTGTTTAAATAGGGACATCCTCCATTATGTAACAGCTCATGTCTAACATGAATAGCTTCCAGTGCATGGTTACATTCATACCCGTAGATTTTTTTTAATGTAAGCACATGAGCAGCACTGAGACAAATAATGACAGAGCAAAGGTTGGGAACATGAAGTCAAGCAAGTACTTAACTTCGGTGCCAACTTTAACTATGCACCTGGCGCTGGAACACTGCATCATGAGTAAAACTAGTGTATAATAACTCTTTACCAGCCTTTTATTGTGAGGGAAAATACTGTAGCCGGTTCTGTATTATGTCAGAAACACCACCCACGCAAGTTTAATAGTTAGCCTGTGTTCCTGACATGTCGGGAGAGACAGCTGTTGAGGGTTATAGCCCCAAACAAGAATTTTTTCGCTTTGTGAAATTCCAACGTAATTCTACTATAATTCGGCCATTTTGATGTTTCATACCATAGCTATTAGTAAAAGCCAGCACTATGAACGTTATCAAAATTTAGGTTGTGCCAAGCCTCTCTGTAATTAGGCATATCCAAAACACGTGATACATATAAACAAATGCAACAATGAAGTAGAATACTAGCATCCACATGACGCACCGATTCTTAGCTGAATTATGACTATCTGACGTCTCACTGACGTAAGCAGCTCGCTAAACACAAGCCGAATAAACCAGCAATAAATAATCAGCGGTTATGAGTCGGGTTCAGCGCGCTTCCAGTAGTTACCTCTGCCATTATCGTCCATATCTGCGTGTCGGTTGACCATTTTTTCCTTTGGTCACACACACACACACGAGCTGCACGTACCAGCTTAGTGTTGCTTGTCACAGCACGTGCAACACCGCAGCAGGACAACAAAACAACAACACACGATTCCAGAAATAACTCGATTTTCCCCGCACTTTAAGCAAACTGGGAATATCAATCTTACATTCGCGGAAGCTGTAAAGGTGGAGCCCCTCTTCTCTGGAACACCCCATCAACAAACACCCCGTTTTTTCCAAGGCATCGGAGGTAGAATTCCCCCGTGCCGGTGCCATCTTCTCCTGCGGTAAATATTTCTAGGTGCCGGCGGGAGATGAAGCTGGAGTGTCCCATGCTGACGTCCACGGAGCCCTGCGAAGAGTTCCGGCCGATGGTCACGGACTTTTTCTTCATGAGATACTCGAATTCTCGGCCCTCCAGCCGGGCTACCGCCAACCCTGACATCCCGCTTACCACCGCCATCTTCTAAGATATCTGAAGGGGATTTAGAAATCTGTCTTAAGCGAAAATATATAAACAGTTGCAGGGAACCAAATAATTTTTTTAGGGGGACGGGTTGTGAAATAGAGGGGAACCCAATTTTATACTGTGGAGAATTTAGCTAGGAACGTGCCAGCCCGGGGACACAGCGGCTCCGACCCACCGCCGTGATGAAGAGGAAAAAAAAGGCGTATCGACCAATCAAAAACGGCCAAACGGACGGAAGTACTGTGACAGACAATCTTTTCAACCAATGGGAAAGCAGGTTTTATAGACACAAGCGTGGCGTTTACCAATGACAACAATAATAAAAATAGCCGTATAAAATAGGGCTCGGTTGCGGCGCAGGCTGACACGCAGATGGACGGAGAGATGGAAAATGCGGCGCAGGAGGGGAGTCTAATGTACATACAAGCTGTGTCCCAAAAATGTCTAATGTTCGTCCTTATTTATATTTTATAAACTAACAGAACCTAATGAAGACAGTGTCTTATATTTAATACTAAACTTTCTGCCTCCCGAAATCTCACATCCATAAATCCAGAATAACACATTTGACGCCAAATTACAATTTTTTTCTTTCTTTTTTTTTCATAGTCAATTGTGCACTAACTATCTAATCTATGTATACATTGTTCACCTGGCCAGAAACGAGAGTCTTGCTTTGGCTGCCAAGATTTGGCTTTCTGTAGCCAAAAGTCAGCATGTTATGACAAGAGCATTTAATGCTAAGTTATCAGTACACTTGATTAACTAGTTGCATACATAAACTATACAGGTGCAAAGTCTTGTGCATGCTCTCTCATCCAGGTAAGTAAATCCTGAAAGGTTGATTCTGTTCACCTGGATGTGGGAGAAACATTTCATCACTCATCCAAGTGACAACACCTACAGGCCAGTGAAAACTCAGTGGTCTCAATTTGCATATTAATGATCAAGGAACTGACCTCACAAACCATTGTTCATTCAGTGTTCTAGTTTCAGTCATTGTGCAAATGTACTGTTTATAAGGTTGTGGAAACCTGCAGTCAGCTGGCACTGAAGAAGTCACGTTTCTCCCACTGAAAACGCTACGTCCAGATGAACAGAATCAACTTTTTGGGATATACAGGTGCAACACAGAGACACACCTACTAATTAGTCCTAAATAAAACAATACTCATTTGGTACTAAGGGGCTCAAAACATTCCAAGAAAATATTCTCCACACCATTTCCTTAACCACTGATGTACACAATGGTTCAGGCAGGGTAAATCCAGGCTTCAGTTGCAGTTGAGACTTATCAAATCAGACAACATTTTTCCGGCCTTCTGTTGTCCAATTATGGAGAGCCTCTGTGAACTGTAGCCTCAGATTCCTGTTCTTAGGGCTGACAGGAGTGTTGCTAGGTGTGGTCTTCTGCTGCTGTTGGTTTCACAAGTTGTGAATTAATAGATGCTTTTCTGCTTGCCTTGGTTTAATTGAGTAGTTAATTGAATTACTGTTGTCATCTATCAGCTAGAAGTAGTCTGGCAACTGCCCTTGGACTTAGTATCTACAAGGTATTTTCTCCTAGAGAACTGTCAGTTAATGGATTTTTTCTCTTTAGAAGACCATTCTCTGTACACCCAAGAGATGATTGGGCTGGAAAGTCCCAGTAGTGCAGTCGATCTGGCACCAACAGCTATGCCACATTCCAAATTACTTAAATCATCCTTCTTTCCTGTTCTTATATCTTATATTAATGAGAATGGGAAATGGTAAACATAATAATAAAAAGTAGACACATATTCTACACATAGGAGATTTTTTAAAAAGCAGTAAAGACTTGGTTACATTTATTGCTGCATAATTCCAGTTCCATGCAGTAATTTACCAGACCAGGGTTTCTGTGCATCAGGTTAGTTTACTAACTGTAGTACAGCAGCTACCACGCTGTGAGGACAGAGTCTGTATATGAAGATCATGTTAAATAATGCATGTAAAATCACTCATTCTGTGTAGACACTGCCACAGACGTAGACTGGTTTAGACAGGGGCCTAGCACCACAAGCTGTTAGACGTCTGATGCTAGTATGTGCACGTTCTTTAAGATGTCATCAATATTCAAAAAAATGTACTGCCCTGAGAAAGGCCATGCACCATGCTACACGTGTTCTTTCACAATGACGTAATCAGTTTGAACTGAGCTACATCCAAGAGTAATGCACCGTTCACGAGGTTTATGAGTAACATTTGGAACTATAGATTTTGAACCTACAAATACTTTCCTCTCAAAGCCAGATGTGACATAAAGTCAAAGCTGGCTTTCAGACTTTTGAACTTAACACAAATATATTAAATTCAGACCAAACATAAATAAAAAAAAATCAAAGGGACAAGAAACAGACAAAAGAACAGAACAGAAAACAAATTTCTGATAATGTCAGATAAAACCAAACAGAGCACATTCTTGAAAGCTGAGACGTTAGGGGAGCTGGTAAATTGAGAGATTTATGATTTAACCACTCTTTTACTGGTATGTGGAAATAAAAAAAATAGCAATTTTTCTGCTTAAAAGGTTCAGGATCAACTGGGTGATCCAAAACTCACTGATCTTGACGCTAACCTGGTTTCTTGGGGTCTTCAAACAAAATGAGAATGATATTAGCCAAGCTAGATTCAATCAGCTATAATGATAGCTTGTCCCTGTAATGCTCTAAAAGTTAAGACTAGAATTTTAAAATGGAACCTAAATCTGATTGGTAGCCAGTGCAGCGACTTTACAACTGGGGTCATATGAGCTCCCTTGTTCGAGTGGGTCAGTAGCCTCGCTGCAGAGTTTTGAACAACCTGTAGACAAGCTAGCCCTTTATTGTTTAGACAAGTAAACAGGTTGTTACAGTAGTCGAGTCTTGTAGAGACAAAAGCATGTATTATCATCTCGAGTTCACTTGTTGACACGATGGATCTAAGTTTTGAAATGTTCCTCAAGTGAAAAAGCAGGTTCTTACTATGATCAGATTATGCTAAAGGAGGACTTAACATACTCTTCTTATTATCAAGTTGCCAACATTAATTGATTCCTTCCACAAGAATTGGAACAGCATGGGCGTCACCATTTACAGCCCCCAAATACTGGTCTGTGTAAAATTCAAAACAAGACAAAACACATTTAATTCACAATAGAAGAATAGAAACAATAGAAAACATGTCACATGTATAAACTTGTGAGAAAAATATATTATTCTAACAATAGTCCGCTAATGTTTGGGAACTGATGAGACCAGTTGCTTTTAGTTTCTTAACAGTCGTAACAGTGTCTTCTTTGCCTTATTTTCGGTTTCATGATGGGCCAGATATTTTTATTTGGACTCTGGGCAGATCAGGACCCAGATTCTACGAGGAAACCATGCTATTGAACTAGATGTGGTTTATCACCGTCTAGCTGATATATGGAAGGCCTTCCTTTAAATCTTCCAAATAGGAGCAAACCTTAAAACATACCTACCTTTAAGCACTGATGGTTCCTTTCCAAATGTGTGAGGTGAAGAAAGTATACTTTCTTCACCTCGCACATTTGGAAAGGAATTCTAATTTATTCTGCTAGCCTATAGGCTAGCAGAATAAATTAGAATTAACACGTTTAATTTGCTTTATTTCTACCACAGAACTTTTATTTCCAAGGACTCCAGTCAGGGAACTTTCTAGGGGGAAAAAGGTGATGCAGACCGCTTGCCATCTCTCACACGTTTGTGCATTACTGTTTCGATACCTCAACTTTGGCAACAATTGAGTTTTTCTTTTCCACTGTTGCCAAATGCTTGCTCAGAGTACAAGTCTTCTGTTTTTAGGGGTTTTATAAAACCGAATGGAAGTGAATTGAATTAGGCTTTTTGGATTTAGAGGTGATATTGGATTGACATTTGTTTGGAGTGCTAATGCCAGCTAAACTTTGTTAGTGGCATTTTCATCAACCAGATTAATGCCACAAGTAATAATAGTATAAGGACAAAGTTTTGGCTCATAATCACAACATACTGACCAAACTGATGAACATGTGCATCACCTTAAGTTGTCCTGCAATATACATCCTCAAATTTTAAAGTGTAAAATGGTTCATGTGTCTTCATTTTCACCAGAATTAGGTTTTTATGTTTGTGATCTGGTAAAAATTCAACCAACAATGAATTGTGGCAGCTGTGGCTACAACTGTAGCTGCCTCCACCAGTGTGTGAATGTGAGAGTGAATGAATAGTGGAATTGTACAGCGTTTTGAGGGCCCCGAAATGCGCTATATGCAATCCATATAAATGCAATCCATTAATAATAATAATAATAATAATTATTATTATTATTGTTATATGTCCACATGTGATATATTTGCTACAAGTGTATGGGGTATCAGTCACAGCAGGTAGTGTAACATAAGTCAAGTGCTGCCACCTGGTGGATTTATAGGGTGATGCTGCAACATCTGAGGCGTCTTTATATGATGAGTGCTCAGGAAGTGTATGCCTGCATATCTCTTAATCATATCAGCTTATCAGCTGTATAAAAGAGAGCAGGTAGGTAGATTCATACAAGGCGTAGAAATGCTCTATATGACTATAGGTCTGGAAGTGCAATATTAATCAGTGTACTGAAATATTTATCCCCCCAAATACTAGGACCAGTATGTTTCTGTGCATCTGTAAAGGAAAAGATAAGGATGTTCTTGGCTCAGTCTATATCAACACATCTTATGCACAAAGGTTACTTTTTATTAATATTATCATGAGTGATTTTTAAAGTAGTAACTGATTTATTAATCTTCAATCTTTGCTAACAGCATGTTTTAGAAAGCACTAAATAGTTTGCAATAGAATCATTGTAAAAAGTAGCATAGGTGTAAACTGACAGTAAAGACTGCTTTGTAACTACTGTAGTTATAAAAAAGGAGAAACAAACAAAAACCTTCCACAAACAAGCTTTATTTTACAACTCAGTAAAGAGTTCAGATGAAAGTTAAATAGTGTAATCCTTCAGTTTTAATGACTGACTTTTCACTTTGGTTTTTTCTTCTTTCTTTCCACAGAATCCAGATTAATGAAGTATTTTCTAGTGATGTAGAACCTCATTAACGTATTGAGGACCCTGCACCAATGCAGTGAAAGAGAAACTTTGATAAATTAGGTCCTGGAGCCAGGAGTTAATTTACAGGAAACACAGCTGAACAATTTTTGGAATTAATTT